CTTCATCCGAGGCTGCACTGAGGATGTTACCAAGCACGGTAACGAAACGTCTGCGGAACAACAAACCAGCTCGGCGAGCCAACCAACCTCAACACCCACAACCCGAGCTACAAATCTACTCCAAAACCTTAGGAATGTATATTTGTGGAGCGTGTAGGGCAGCTATACAGCAGAGCTGTTAATGCCATGAGTACATTAGTAAGTTCAGAGCAAACATATGAATGTTGATCATTCATCCCTTTGAGCCCATATGCCATTCAATGCGACCATGACTGGTCTGCTTCCACGTCGTTTTCCTGTATCATCCCCACATGTTTTAATGTTTTTAATTGGTTCATACCTCATCTCAGTTCTAAATTGCCTGACCTTGTTCACAGACTGTGTGCCTCATATGTTGCGGTACCAACTGGTGACATTTTGTGGCTAAGGTAGAATAGTGCCTCCAATTCTTATTTCTGATGTTGTTAATGAACCTGTTCAGGTGTGTTATGACATATGTCTGGGGAAGGTGGGACTTGAAAGCAGACCTTCAGTTTACATCATGACCTCATGCTGGACCGCTTCGTTTCCACCCCATGGTTTTGTAACATCGTGAGACTGGCAGAGCTTAATGCAGTTTCAACATTAACTCTTTCCAACCCACGTTGTTGGTGATATGAACCACAGGATAACCATTTAGCTCATTAATCTGACTGTATAAGAATGACAGTGCCATCTGATTATTATGTGGCGTACAAAACAGAATAATAAATACGTGAATAACCTTTGTCCCATTTTTGATCACAGTGAGAAAGGAGAACTTACTCGGGCCAAAATTGCTTTTCAGCAAGAAAAAGAGGCTTACAATAAGCAGTACAGAAATCAGCAACAGGTGAGATATTCTATCAAAAAACAACAGAAATTGGAATAGTGAATAAAATTTGCTCTGGATACTCAGCAGGTCTGGCTGCATTTGTCGAGACACAAGAAACAAAGTTAATGTTTCAAGTTTGATATGATTCTTTCTGGGACAATGAGGCATCAGAACCTGGTTTAACTTTTACGTTGTTTGCCGAAAGGCCGCAAGTCCCGCCTGATTCATGGAAGTCATTGAGAGAAATATCAGGGGTAGCTTCTCCACATTTTCCAGTTATTACTGCATGTCAGTGTTCTGAGACTTTCAAATATATTAGCTCAGTATTAGCTGTTTTGACAACTTTGTTTTATGATTAACATCTTTGTATGGTTATATAAAACATTTTTCTGTGATCTTGTTGGTCGACATTTCAATATTGATTTAGATGAGTTTAGGAGATATGAAGTTGTAAAAGCTTCTATTATTGATACTATAATTTTTCTGTACAATTGAAAGTTTTGTAGATCTGTAGGAACAGCAGTTGGGTTACATTTTTCTCCTCAGCATTTCTACATTTGTGATTACATCTGTTCATTGATTCTGTATATACTGTCCTCTTGATAAGTGGATATGTTGAGGATATGCAGGCCATAGAAAGGCATACAGTGGACATGGAGACCACATCGTGAGCATAAAGAGGGTATGGAGGTCAAAGGAGTAATAGGGTCATGGAGTTAACATGGAAACAAGGAAACGGATATAGGGAACATAAGCAAGACCTTTTGAGCTCGCCTTTCAAAAGATTCCTGAACCAAAATACGATTCAACATTCTTCTGAGGTGACATGAACCACAAATCATGGAGAATCTGGCCTAACTCCAGAAACTCACTGCAGTTATGAGTTGTCCATCCCTGCAATGGAGCCAACAAGGCCAGGAGTGCAAGATGCATGCTTGCTGCCTACACCTTTATTCTGTGCTGGTAAAAATAGCTGCCACCAGAAATGGGGCTTGGAATCTCAGAACTGAGTTCCTATCACAATTTTTAAAGACTCCCAAGTCAGTGATGGTAATGCTGTTGGTTATCAAGGGCGCATTGTTTGGTTTTCTCTTGTTGGATCTGATCATTGCCTGTGGTGCAAATGTTATTTGCTATTTATCAGCTCAAGACCAAGTCTTGCTGTATTTAGACATGGACTGATTCAGTATCTGAGGATTCATGAATAGTTCTGGGCACTGTGCAATCATAAATGAACACCCAGAATTCTAACCTTATGATGGATGGGAAATGCACTGCTGTAGTAACTGCGATTCTGGATGTGAGGCTGTACCTTGAGAAACTCCTGTAGCAATGTCCTGGTCTGAGATGATTGGCCTCCAAAAGCTATCACCATCTTCCTTTGTGCTAGGTGTGAATAACATATGCTATGTGCTTACAGGTGAGGTGGGACTATGAGTTACGATTAATGGAATTTGATGGTCAGTGCCAAGGGTGATGTGACACATTTTGAATGTGAGAGGATAGTGATACAACTGGTGAGATATGGCATTTGAAGATACATTCACTGAATACTGTTGTGATTATTAAACCGGTTGTGTCATTGTGTTCAAATCTTCAACGCTAGATTTCTAGCATTGACTGTTACCAGATATCTTGTCCAACTGCCTTTGTAAAGGTTGTCTACTTTGAATCAGAGACATCTCTCCTCCTTTCCATCTCCTGTAGCAAAGACTCCAGGGCACTGTCAGAAAATCTTGAAACTTGCTTTCTGACCTGTTGCGCAATGCCTGTATCTTTCCCAAATCAAAATCTTTTACAATGGTTTCCAGCACCTGTCCAACCCAAAATATACCTCCCTTTTAAACAGGTCTGCTTTAAGTGATGTAGGATGGTGTGAAATTGTGTCACCCCCACATGATTTTGCGCTTCGCTACACAAATGTGCAGGTATTCAATTATGTGTTTAATGCTGGCTGCATGCCACAATCATTTAACTTAGTATGATCCTCACAATCATTTTATGGTTAGCAAATTCCATCCTCAATGTGAGCTCAATCATCTTATTACTGTTTGTAGTATTTTGCTGTGCTCACATTGGCTGTCACCTTTTTCTACTTTGCAAAAATGACTATACTTTAATCTAATGAAATAAGTTTTGAAGTGCTTTGGGATATCCTGGAATGAGATTCTTTATTCCATGAGCTATATGTTGTTACACTAATTTATAGACAGTCTGTTTGCAAGATAGTAGCTGTGATACCAACTACCTAGAATATGTTGCACAAAGGAGATGCAATATCAAATCGCAGACTCTGAAGATGCAATTATATATTTTTCCATTGCGTAGCATCAACAGCTAAAGTCAGAGGCTTGGGGGCGACTTTATAGAGGTTTACAGAATCATGAGGGGCATAGATAGGGTGAATAACAAAGGTCTTTTTCCTAGGATGGGGGAGTACAAAATGAGAGGGCATAGGTTTAAGGTGAGAGGAGTAAGATTTAAAAAGAACCTGAGGATAACTTTTTCAGGTAGAAGACGATGTGTGTATGGAACGAGCCGCCAAAGGAAGTGGTAGAGGCGGGTAAAAGTACAACATTTAAAAGGTATCTGGGTGGGTATATGAATAGGAAGGATTTAAAGGGATATGAGTCAAATGCTGGCAAATGGGACTAGGTCCATTTGGGATGTCTGGTCGGTGTGGATGAGTTGGACTGAAGGGTCTGTTTCTGTGCTCTATGACTCTAAAAGAATATTTCTTAAATAGTAAGTTACTTTCTATTGTATATTTCTTCATTTAATTTTATTTTCACATACCTCTAGAACATGCACCAATGCTGGCTGAGATGTATTCCCACACCGTCCCTAAATCAACAGCTAAAATCTGTGCATGACCTGTCTGGGTGACTGGTCCTATAATTTGCCACACTTTGGGATAATGCTAGGGCTGCACATTTTACTTTCCAAATAAGGAATGCGCTACATTGAGAATCATAATAGCAAACATATAACGTATATTTAGTGTTCTCTGTGTTTGTATTGTAGGTAATTTTGATTTGAGCAAATTGTCAAAATTGACTTTTAATTTCAACATGATAGAATTCAAACTTAAATTTAGGGTTTCAAAGAAAATTCATATTGGACTTGAAATATTAACTCTGTTTTTCTCTCTTCACAGATACTTTGCTTTTATTTCAGTTTAGAGTGTCATTTTTTTATGACTTGGAAGACCTGAAAAATTAAAATCCTGAAGTATTGGAATAAAATTTCAAATTCAATTTGAATAAATTCCAGCCTTTTTCACTTTTGTAAATAAAGTGTTCTTATCATTGTCTTTCAGGAACTTCAGGAGATGCTAGAAAAACATAAATCTCAGAATGAAGCCTGGCTTAGAATGCGGGCTGAGCAAAATGATCGAGAAAGACAAGAGCTGTTCAGACAAAGGGTGGGGATTATCCATTTATTCCTAAATTTTATGATGCATTTCCAAAAATTAAGGAGTAAACTTGGGTCATTGCTAGTACTAGCACAAAAGGAAATCTGTGTTGAAAATTCAAACCCAAAGACAGAAACTCAAGAACATAAAAAATAGGAATCACACAACACCAGGTTATAGTCCAACAGGTTTATTTGAAATCAGGAGCTTTTGGAGCACTGCACCTTCATCAGGCCAAGGTGCAGCTCATCAGTGCTGCATCCTTCATCACTTCACCTGATGAAGGAGCAGCGCTCCAAAAGCTTCTGCTTTCAAATAAACCTGTTGGACTATAACCTGGTGTCGTGTGACTTCTGACTTTGTTCACCCCAGTCCAACACCAGCATCTCCACATCCTAAAAAATAGAAGCAGGAATAAACCAGACATTCGTTGAATCTGCTCCACTACTCAGTAAGATAATGGCTGATCTAATCGTGTTCACTAACTTGTCTGTCCCCTAAAACTTTTCACTCCCTTATTAAATTCTATCAAATTCAGCCTTGAATATGTTCAATGACAGTGCCTCCATTGTTCCATTGTGTTCCAAAGAGTAACAGGAAGGAGATCCTGTCTGACTAATTTAATTGAGTTTTTTGAAAATGTGACTAAATATGTCAATGAGGATAATGCAGTTGATATCGCTTACCTGTTGGACCTCAGTAAGGCCTTTGACAAGGTCCCAGTCGAAGGCTGGTCCAACAGGTAAGAGCCCATGGGATCCAAGACAAATTGGCAAACTGGTTCCAAAATTGTCTCATAAATAGGAGGCAAAGGACGATGGTGGAGGCTGTTTTTGTGATTGGACATCAGTGACCAACTATCACTGGGTTCGATGCTGGGACCCTAGAATGTTGCCTAGGATGGAAAATTTTCAGATATGAGGAGTGATTGGATAAGCTGGATTTATTTTCCTTGGAGCAGAGGAGGCTGAGTGTTATCTGATTGAAGTATACAAAATTATGAGACACATGTACAGGGTAGATCATGAAAATCTTTCCACCACGGCAACACGTCTAAAACCAGGGGGCAAATATTTAAAGTGAGGACTCAGTGGGTTAGAGGGGGCATGAGGAAAAGGTTTTCCACTCAGAGGGTGATGGAAATGTGGAACATGTTGCCTGAGAGGGTGGTGGAAGTAGGTACCCTCACAACATTTAAGAAGGTTCTGGACAAGCACTTAAAATGCCAGGCTATGGACCAAGTGCTGGTAAATGGAATTAGTGTAGTTTAGTGTTTGCTGATCAGCACATACATGCTGGGCCAAAGGGCCTGTGCCTATGTTGTATGACTCTTTGACTAATCCTATGAGAGAAAAAGTTTCTCATCATCTCCATCCTAAATTGAAAATGCTTCATTTCTAATCTGTGCTCTTTGTACTAGATTGCTCCATGAGGGGAAATGTCCTTTCAGCATCTACTCTATCAAGCTGTCTCAGAATCTTATATAAATTTATACTGCATTACCTTCAATAAAGATCACTTCTCATTCTGCTAAGTTCCAATAAGTATAGATGCAACCCCTAATCCCAGAATTTAGTGAACCTTCTTTAAACTGCGTCAATGCAAGTATCATCCCTCCTTAAATAAGGAAAACTGTATCCAGCACTCCAAGTGTGATCTTACCAATTGTCTTCCTAATTACTTTCTTGCATGCTAACATTTCATGAATAATTAAAGAGAGTAACCAGATCCCTCTGTATGACATCATTGTGCACACTCAATTTAAATAATATTCCGCACAAACTCATATTTTCTACATTATACTTCATCTGCTGATGTATTTGCCCATTCACTTAAAATATCTGTATCCCTTTGCAGACTTTTTGTGTCATTTGCACAACATACCCATACTTTCCTATTTGTCTATGTATCATCAGCAAAATTGGCTAAATTATACTGTTTGTCCATCCGCGTCATCAATATAGATTGTAAGTAGTTGAGTCCCAGGCACTAAACCCTGCGACGTTTCACTCACCACTGTTTGCCAAATGGAAAATAACCCATTTATCTGACTTTGTTTCAGGTTAGTTAACCAGGCCTCTATACAAGCTAAAAGTATTACCCCCAACACCATGAGACTTTCTGCATCTTTGCCCTTAGATTTCACCTCTGCAATTTCCTCTAATTGGCTGCGTTAGATGCCAAACTGGCCCACATGTAGATCCTGGGAGTAAATAGCTGGTGTGCATACCTGACAGTGACCTGCTGCAGGGGGAACATTAATCATAGAGTCATAGAATTCCTACAGTGTAGAAGTAGGCCATTCAGCCCATCAAGCCCACCCAGACCCATCCCATCCCTGTAACCTTGCATTTCCCATGGCTAATCCACCTAGCTTGCATATCCCTGGACACTATGGGCAAGTTAGCATGGCCAATCCACCTAACCTGCACATATTTGGACTGTGGGAGAAAACCAGAGCACCAGAAGAAACCCTCACAGACACGGGAAGAATGTGCAACCTCCACACAGACAGTCACCCAAGGGTGGAATTGAACCCTGTCCCTGGCACTGTGAAGCAGCAGTGCTAACCTCTTGAGCCATCATGCTGCTGTTAAAATACAAAAAATTGAATAATATACCTGTCTTTCACAGCTCAGAGGTGGTAAGTGCAATATAATCCATGAAAATTTGATTGGAGCATGCATTTGCTCTGTTTTTTGTTCATTTGGCATCATCAGAGGTCTGTTCTGGTTTTCACTCTTTTTGGTGAAGCTGCTGTGCTGCCCACTTGGCACATCTCAGGTATCTAAGGCAGAAATGCAGAAGCAGATGGTTGCAGTTTGGAAAAATGAGGTAGCATGAAAAGATTTATGGTCACACCATCTGCAGCTTGCACTTTATGCCATCTGCTCTCATTTGCTTCTCAGAGCCTTGAATATAGGACATAGGAGTAGGCCATTTGTCCACTCAAGCCAATTCCCTTCCTGGATCTTTATGAAAATGTTCCTTCTCTCATTCTTCCTACCTTGTCAACTGATGCATTAACATCAGATAAGAAAATGTGAAAGTGTCTTTCTTACTAGTCACTCTATTTATAATGCTTTTGCTACTATCCAGGTCCAAACAGTTTGCTGTTAATTCTTTCCAATGAGCTCCTCTTTAAAAAGAAGGGTCTGAGGAAGGGTCACTAGATCCAAAACGTTGACTCTGAGTTCTCTCCAAAGATACTGCTAGACCTGCTGATCTTTTCAAGAAATTTCTGTTCTTGTATCCTTTTTAAAGGGGATAGTTTGTCTTTAGATTATGAAGGATAGATGAAATGTCCACAAAGGTGAACTGTCACAATTCCCCATGTGAAATGTTCAAAACATGGCTCTTGTTGTTTGAGTAAAAATATCCATTTTCCTGATCAAAAAATGTTAACACCAATGATTTTTAATGGTCTGATTTGTAAAAGGGGATGCAAAGATGAGAACATCAGTTGTGAGGTGAGATACCTTTTATAAATTAACAAATTAATCTCCATTTGCAGGCGAAATTGCTTCAGGAACAAGACAAGTTGCATGAAGAACAGAAAAACCTTCAAATGCGTAGTCAGCAACTACTCTCCTTAATGCAGCAATTTAAAGGAATGTGAGAAGTTACATTGAGAATTAAAAAATCTGTTTAAAATCACCCTGCTGTGTTTAGCCTTTCCTTCTTGTATTCTTAGGCACTAGACTTCTGCAAATCAGTAGCAAGCAGGTATGAGAAAGATCAAGGTAGTATTGACATCCAATCTTATAAGGAATAAGATGGAAGTTACATCTATTTGTAAATTTTCCGAAATAGGAATGTATTACATTGGCTGACTTACTCCTCGCTATTAATTTTATGTAAAATCTCTATATGTTTCTTTGTTTAGTTGAAAATCTTTGACAATTTAGTTGGTACTGAGAGCTAAGAACTTAAGAACAGGAGCAGCCATAGTTAATTCGACCCCTCAACCCTGTTCCACCATTCAATCAGATCATAGCTGCTCAGGTTATTGCCTCGACTCCACTTTTTGTCCCCGATAACTCTTGACTCCCTTTCATCTATTTGTGCATGGGTATGTGTGGCATCCAGGACCGAAACGTCAACTTTCCTGCTCCTCTGATGCTGCCTGGCCTGCTGTGTTCCTCCAGCTCCACATTGTGTTATCTCTGACTTCAGCAGCTGCAGTTCTTACTATCCAGGAGGACAATTAAGAGTCAATCATATTGCTGTGGATCTGAAATCACATGTGGCCAAACATGGCAAGGGCAGCAGGTTTCCTTCCCTGGTGAACCAGATGGTTTTTACAATTCTTTGGTGGTTAGATGGTTTCTGTCAGGCCAGTCTTTTCATTCCAAATTCTTACTAGGTTCAACTTTCATCACCTGTCATGGTGGAGTTCAAATCTATATCCCCAGAACATTGGCCTAAGGTTTTGGATTACTATGCCAATGACATTACCACAAAGCCACTGCCTCAATGATTCAACCTTCAATGCTTGTTGGAGAAGAGAATTCCAACATTGATGATCTTGAGAGAAGGATTACTGTCTTATCTGTCTTCTTGTTTTGAAACTGCAGTTCTAGTTACAGGCAATGACTTCCAGCATCTACCCTGTCAAACCCCTTCAGAATCTTACATGTTTCAATAGGATTGCCTCTTAAGTCTTCTAAAGACCAATGAGTATAAGCCTACCCTGCTCAATCTTTTCTCATAAGACCAACTACTGAGTTCAGCCTACTGAATCTTTTCTGAATGCTCCCAGAACAAGTGCATTTAAGCCACCTCAGATAATATTGGAGATATATGAATAAAGCAGAGTAAGTTTCAGCATTATAACTGGGATAAAATCTAAGTGAAAGACATTGGGCTGGATTTTATGCCCACCTCCTGACATTGCACCGAGTGTATTTCCAGCAGATAAAATGCCCATGAGGCCACTTGTCCTTGGGCCCAATTAAGTGGTAATGAAGAGCCTTAATTGCCTCCTCTGTCATATTATTATTGACATTTGAAGGCAGGCATAAGTGACAAAGGCTGTTTTATCATCAAAACTGGTAAATAGGTAGGACGAAGGGAGGTCTACCATGACACATCATTATCAACAGGCTTAACATCTCATCAGTATCCAATACTCTGTTCAGCCATGACTGTGTGTGTGTGTGTGTGTATAACTATAGGGGCTAAATGAGTAATAAAGGTCCGAAACAAATATAGTCTACCATGTACTCAGATTTCTAAAAGATCATTTAGTTCAGTTGGCTGGATAATTAGTTTGCACTGCAATGACAGCAACAGCATGGATTCAATTCCCACACTAGCTGAGGTTACCATGAACAACTCTCCTGCTCAACCTCTCCCCTGACATGAAGCATGGTAATCCTCTAATTAAACCACCACCTGTTGCTTCTTTCTGATGAGAGTGCGGTTCCCTGGGACTATGGCAACTTTACCTTACCTTTACTGTTATTTATATTGATGAGGTTTGAACTAAATAATGGTGCAACAACTGTATGAAATAGGGGTCATAAATGATGAGCAGTATTTTTGGAAGGACTAATTGAAAGCCATATTTGAGTTTAGCTGCTCTTAAATTATGATGATCTCAAGGGCTTGCATGTAAGTTTTCCTAGAATACTAAAGGGGACAGAAATAGCCCATCCTCTCTGCTTTATTAAAATCTTTTGCATCCTGGGGATTTCCCTAAATGTCATATAACAGTTCTTTTGCTATCACTAGGTCAGTATCCTGTAACTCCCTTCCTAAAAGCATTGTGAATGCACCAGGATCCAAAGAGATGGCTCACTGTCAGCTCAAAGGCAGTTACGGATGGGTAATAAAAATACTTTCCAATTAAAAAAGCATCAGCCCAGATCTTCAGATGCCAACAATGGTGAACGATGAGTTGTCTGCCATTGTTACACTTCATGGAAGCTCTGGCCTGCGCATTTGGTCTGAAATTACCCAGGAAGTTTAAACCATCTGCACTGCTTAGAACTCTGTGTATATCTCTTGCATTATTGCATTGTTAAGGCCTTGAGTTACACAGAGCTACCTGTGCAGATACCTTACCCTAGAAATGTTTTACTGTTTAATCTTCAGTGTAACACAGTAATGATCAGCATAATTCAACCCACAAACCCAAATGAGTTGACTTCACAGCCCTGGCCCATCTATTGATCCCCTGAGCAAACTTCGTACACCACCAACTACATTTCACCGTTCATACACCCGATCAAATACCACTCATCCACTCAGGCCTTAAATTACTCACCCACCAACTCATTTGCCCACCCACCTACCCACAACTCACCAATCCACTCTTTTACAAACTCACCCACTCATAGACATCCTCCCAACCAATCATCAAACCACCCACCCACCCACTCACCCACCTCCCAGTCCATGGAAAACCTCTCAGATCTTTAATTTGAATACGACTGTTGATATGATAAAAGGGGGGTGTGATCTTTGCAGTGCTCTGCTTTGCTAGTTCTCTATGCGGATATCTACACAGAAACATCGTTGTTCCGTTAATTCCCAGTCATAAAGACTCAAATGAACCGGCTGTAGTGATTTTTGCAGTCAGAAGTGATTGCTTTGGCATCATTGTTAACCAGGAGATCTGGACCAGGACTTGAAGTGCATTCCACTTAGCTAAAATCTGACACCTAATCCAGCACTTCCCATTAGAGAGTTGGTTGGCATAAGTTGTCTACTGTGTCTACCATTCCAACTAACCTGAGGAAATGCCATCACACCACAGAATCATGAACTGGTTGGTAGATTGACTCCAGCGGTGTATCTTTACCTAATTCAGCAATACTTATGTTACTTCTTGTAGCATAACAATCTAGACTTGGTTATTGCAGTATTGAAAGATCCAACAGACATTTATTACTGCTGACTAATGTGTTCAAATATTACATTCACAGGCACATTCATGCCTGAGCTAACATTAAACTGGAGTCATTTTGAACTCATAGAGTTATACAGCAAGAAAAAAGACCCTTCAATCCAACTTGTCCGGGCCAACCAAATATCCTAAACTGATCTAGTCCTATTTGCCAGCATTTGGGCCATATCCCTCTGAACCCTTCCTATTCATGTACCCATCCAGATACCATTTAACTCCTCTGGTAGCTTGTTCCATACACAAACCACCCTCTGCAGCATTGCCCCTCAGGTCTCTTTTAAATATTTCTCCTCTCACCTTAAACCTATTCCCTCTAGTTTTAGAATCCCAACCCTGGGAACAAGACCTTGGCTCTTCACCCTGTCCCTGTCCATTATGATTTTATAAACCTTTATCAGGTCACCTTTCAGCCTTCAAAACTCCAGGAAAAATAGCCCCAGCCTATCCAGCCTCTTCATATAGTTCTAAATCTCCAATCTCTGTATCATCCTTATAAATCTTTTCCAAACTGTTTCAAGTTTAACAACATCTTTCCTGAGCAGGGAGACCAGATTGAACACAGTATTCTAAAAGTGGCCTCACCAATGTTCTGTACAGCCTAAACATGACGTCCCAACTCCCATACTCAATGCACTGACAAATGAAGGCAACTCCAAACATTACTTTCATTTCTCTTTCCACAAATGTTGCCAGACCTGCTGAGTTTCTCCAGCATTTTCTGTTTTTATTTATAATTTATGATCACTGCTCCTTGAATGTTTCCTATCACTTGGTTCATAGGCAAATCAACTTCTTGTTGTCACCTAGCTGCATTTGTAGACAACCCCTCAGCTCTAGTTCATGTAGAACCCAAACTTTGATTAATCCTTGTTCAAACAGCTGTTCACGTGATGCATGCCATAAGTGCTAGGATACTTGCTTTCCAAAACATGCAGCAATCCTTTCAAACAGTTCTTTCTCTCTTCAGTCCACAATTTAAAAAATCACAAAAATGAAAAGACATGCCCTTTATATGATCAAGAGTTGCCTTGCCAAGGATATATCTGAAACAACATGGGTGGTAATTGTTTAGCATTTTCTTATGACTAGTTTATGTTGTCCACTAAGGGGGTGTGCAGGCTTGGTGGACTCGCAGTGTGGTGTTCTCAATTAGGTTGCTATTGTTCCACAATCTCTTATTCACATCTGGCATAACAGCTTCAGTTTTTGTGATTATGTTGATGTCAATATTGTGAAATTGCTGGTGACTGTGCATCGTAGATACATGAAGCTATCAACATCCTCCAGCACTGCATTGTCAAAGCTGATTGATTATGCTATGGTATTGGCCTTCCTGATACTGCTGTGAAACCAAAATCTTTACAGGTGCCAGCCTGTCCTGGAGCTTGCTAATTTTACCAGCACATACTAATTGCTATACCAAAGATGTGGCTCAGATATGTTCATTGGATGGATGATGGCTGTATGTTTTTATGTGGTCAATTAGCCACTGAATTACAACCTCCTGGACATCATTCCTATCCAAGTAAGATATTACACAACAACTCAAAGACTACTGCCGTGACCTCTAGAGGCTGACTGATTAGAAAACCTGTGGAAGAGGCAGGCAGAAACAAAAATATCAGCTGGATAAGAGGGACCAGAGAAAACATAGGCCAGCAAATTCTACACTGGCTCAGCCTACTGTCCTCCTGTGCAACACTCAG